CTGAGCTGGCAGTCAGCACAGAGCCCGACGCGGGGCTCGAACCCACGAACTGCGAGATCATGACCTAAGCGAAAGTCGGACGCTTAACCAACTAAGCCACCCAGGCGCCCCATATGGTTGGCAATTTTTGACTGAACAGGCAACACTTAGCACTAGAATTTGTTTTATAATTTAACATGCCAGACTCTTTTCTGGAAAAAAGGTAATTTCAGGTTAGGCAATTGTTTTGGAGTCTGTTTTTAAGCTTTGTTAACATGGGTTTAGAGAAGTAGCCTTTATGCTAGAGCTGGTGTACCATTAGCAGCAAGGCATGTGTGACTTTCTATCTGGCAACAGACTCAAAGGGAAATTTCTGGAGCACTTTTCTCACAGAGCTCCCTTCTCCCATATACTGCCTCCATAGCTCCCAGCCTCAGCTTCTCAAACCTGGATCTGTCTCTTCAACTCAGCAATTCTGCCATGTTTGCTTGGGCTGCCCACCCCCCAACCCCTCGCAGCTTACATAAAGTCTAGAAAAAATGGCAGGGCGATAATAGGGTAGGATAAAAGAGGAAGACGTATACCCGTACAGAAATGCTCCAGAAGTAACTTCTATAACTTCCACTTCTATCTCATTAGCCAGGACTAAATCACATGACCACATCTAGCTATAAGGAAGACTGAAAAGTAGCTGTTTCATTTGGGAGAGAGTGTGCCCAGATGACAACTAAGGTTCTGTCACTAAAGAAAATAAAAGTATTGGGTTACATAAAACTATCTCTGCCATAATTCCAAAGATTAAATTTAAAAGGAAAGGTACACACGTCATGAAGAAATGTGTAAAACATTTTCATAATTACCAAAGGACATATTTCACAAAATATGAAATCACAGGTCAGGTTCCTAGAAGGAAAGACACAATTTTGTTTATCACCATTTCAATTTTTATATCTTGCAGTAAATCCATAAATCTGTAATTTATTTACTTGCAAAATTTCTTTTCCATATGTAAAGCAACAGGTGTTAATATGCTGACCTCATTAACAGAACTATGCCAACTGCTATATTTTATCAGTTTTATCATTATCTGCTAACACTGAAATATCAGTTATTACCCAATAAAGGTTTAATGTTGAATCATCTCAAAAGAATCAAGAGAAAGCTTATGGGAAGTCATTCTATCAAAAGTGAAATATCCAATATTAATGAAAAGTCAATTTTAAAAGTTCTATCTTAAAGACCAACATTTCTTGAGGCAGTATTACAAATACAACTTTTGGTGCAACAGTGATGACACTGTTTTGCCAGTCCCACAGGGCAGACGTGTACATGCAGTTGGTCTGGTGCACACATAGCTCCTTTACCAAACAAGCCATATTCTACTCACAGAAACTATAGTTGTCAAATTTTACAAATGATTTTTAAATCCACATTTAGATTAAATGAACCATAAAAATCTTGTGATAAGACTATACCGAATACAAAAATGATCCTTCAGCACAACAGTACACATAGCTCTTTAACCTACCCATTATCAATGTGATTGAAAACATTTTTGTATCTTTAAAAAACTACCTGGGGTGCTGAGTGTCTGAGTCAGTTGAGTGTTCAACTTTGGGTCAGGTCACAATCTCATAGTTTGTGAGTTCAAGCCCCACATCAGGCTTGCTGCAGTCAGCACAAAGCATGCTTCAATTCCTCTGTCCCCTGCCCCCTCGCCCTTGCTCATGCTCTCTCAAAAATAAAAATTAAAAAACAAAAACAAAAACAAAAAAAGAAAATGAAAAGCCTACCTTACACAGGGATTAAACTCTTTTGTAAATGAGCCCTAAAGCCTTTCTATCCAAATTTGTTCAAAATCAATTAGAAATTTTTATTATAGTTAAGGAATGGAGCGCCACAATCTTGAAATTTTAAAGTTTTCTGAAGTTTGCCAATATCAGATCAAATATCATAAAAATATTTTTGTGTAAGTGACCTCAAAAAAAAAGGGTGAAATTTCCAGATGTCAACAGCCAAGCCTCTCAGCAAAAGCAAACTAAAATTAGAAATTTTCCACAGAAAGAGAAATGGGGAGGGGAGGAGAGAGGAGAGGCTAGGAGGGGAAGGGAAGGGGAGGGAAGAAATATCCCATCTACCAGAAATATTTAAAAAGGAAGTCTATCTCTGTTCAGGCATTTTGATGGGGAAACGTAAATATATGGATTCTGAATTTTCTCTTCCTCTCTTGTTTAAGAATCTCCAAGGCAATAAATTAACATATACATTAGAAGATGTAGGGGCTGGTGATGCCTTAGAAAATCTAGCAGAGCAAACTACAAAACACCTTAGAGATTCTCACAGAAGAAAAAACAATTCAGCTAAAAATTATTACTTACACAAGGAAAAACACTAGACCATAAGCAAATATTCAACAGAAGGATTAAACAGCACAGTAGACAAAGCTGAACAGAGAATGAGTGAATCAGAAAACCAGTTTAAGGAAATTATCCAAAATATGGGACCCTAAGGAGAAAGACATGACAACAAATATGAGATTAAAACAAATACAGGACTGAATGAAATGGTCTTATATATGTCTAACTGGAGTTCCAGAAGGAGTTAATTCTTTTTTAAGTTTATTTTTTCGAGAGTGAGGTAGCATGTGAACATGACCTAAGCAGAAATCAAGAGTTGGAGCCACCCAGGTGCCCCCAAAAGGAAGCAGTTCTGTGAAGAGCTGGGTCACTCCTAATCAGGATAAATGAAAGTAAGGTCTCCAGCAATGGTCCTTAACACTGGCTGAACCTTAAATTATCACCTAAGAAGCTTTAAAAACAAATGAAAACCAGTGCCTAAACCTATAACCCCCAGAGACTTTAGAATTGGTATGGGGTAGGTTAAAGTATCTGTGTTTCCCTCAAAGCTTTCCGACCTATTTCAGTGAGCATCCAGGTTTGAGAACCTGTCATCCATACCTACAAATAGCTAGTTAAACCAATGAACAAAAATAATGAGAAAAATAACTACGAGAAGTAATTCTATCTACAGAGTAAGTAGTAAGATTGCTCACAGACTTCTCAACAATAGAAGCTAAAAGAATAATAGAATATTCTAAAAGAATAATAGAATCATTATTCTATTCAAAGCGGTGAGAGAAGTAACTGCCAACCTAAAATTCTAAATAGCTAAATAACATTCAATAGTGATAATGAAATAAGACATTTTCAGCCACAGTCTGAGAGGTTGCCATTTATAGAGCTTTGAAGAAATAGCTATTAAATAGGATGGGCTGAACATAGAATGGAATAGGATATAAGAAGAAATTCAAAACATAAAAGCAAAAAGCACAACAAACTCTTTCTGCTAGCTAAACTCACATTTCATATTTCTTTTCATAAGTAATCAATCAACCAGAACGAAAATCTTTCTGGTCCTCCATCCTGGTAGTTCATAAACATGACCAAACAAACAAAATGACCTGTTTTGAAAAGAACAAACATATGGGCCCCACCCTAGGTGTACTGTAACTCTAGGAGTAAGGGCTTTTTTGTTGTTGTTAGCATATCACACCAAGAGGATAATCAGGTTTAGAAATGTCAGGCTCTAGTATTTCCTTAATATAGTAGTTCTCACAGTGTGGTTCCTCAAATGGTAGCATCACCATTATCAGGGAACTTGTGGAAATGCAAATTCTTAGGACCCACCTCAGATCTACTTTATTAGAAATTCTGGGTATGGAGTCAGCAACCATGCTTTAACAGGCCCTCTAGGTAATTGACACCAGCCCAAGTTTGAGAAAGCTGCTTTAGTCTCATGCTCGTATTACTCTGTTCACACTTCTACATGAACACATCCTCTGCTGATGTCCTGCCCACAGAATCTTTCCATTTAGTCCTTTAGAGCAATGTACCTTAACCAATTCCCAGACATTCTTAACCTCTTCAGTGAATTTTCTTTGTATCTTTTCTCTCAACTGAACCTAACCCTCTTCTCTTATGGAGTTCTCACATAAAAGCTGTTCACTCTCCCAAACACCATGTAGTTGAGGGTCTGGAAAGTGAGGTTCACTCATTCCCTATTTCCTGTATCTCTAAAAACATCTGGATAAAAATCTTGCCTGACACTCTCCACTCTCAAGCCTTTTCAACTGTGGATGATACTAACTTCCAAATTTCTCTTGTGATGTTGAAACCAGAAGAACCCAATGACTACCCAATACTTCTATGTGGATGCTGCAGAAGAACTTCAATATATAATAATCTGAACCTGCCATGTTACCCAACTCTGTTTTTCCTACAGTTTCTATATGAATGGCACACCACCACTCATCTATCTAATTATCCAAGTCCAAAACCTGGAACTAAATCATCAATGGAATCCCTTATTCAAACATGCAATTAATAACCAGTTACTATCAATTTCACCTTCTGTGAATTCTCTACTCCTCCCCATTACAACTGCTAGTGCTATAGTACTAATTACCATCCCTAACTGGGGAATCCTATACAACAACAGCCTCTGAACTTCACCCCTCTCCTGTACTGCACTCCTCCAGTTCATTTTACGGTCCCCAAATTTCAAGAACATTTACTTTTAAACCATGTGGAAACTTAACGGAACGTAAATTATGTTCCGATTTTTAAGAATCACATAGTCTTTTAGTTTTAATACCTCTATTATTCTAAGTCATCATCAAACACAAGCTTTTAAATCCAGCTCTTTTACTCAATTGTTCTGGGTCACCAACTTATTGACAGTTTTATCACAATTATGTAACACAAAGAACATCAATCAAAAAAGGAATTATCGAATTAGACACAAATTAAAATTTAAGAGCCATAACTGGTAATCTCCTCTATGTGAACTTTCCTGCAATAAATTTTACTGCAATAAATTTTCACTGAACTTTACTGTGATAAGTTTTTTTTCGTTCTAAATAATGGCACTTCAACAAATGTTTAGATGAGCAAACAAAGAAAAAAAATTTTTGAAACTCATGGAAAGAAAACATTCTAGATTCTGAAAAAATGATAACTCACCATACACACCTGTAGAAGTAGAACTGTTCATGGTAAAAGGTCCGTTAATGACACCAGAAGAAAGAAGCTCATCAGATCCCCGCTGAAAAGCAAGGGCAATATTGTTAATAAAACAAGTCAGATAATGGTCCACATTTATTACTAAAAATATTAAAAGTTAATATTATTACTGTTTGAATATCAAGGCATTTAAAGGGAAATCCTCAAGAGTCACAAAATCTTTTAAAGGTTGGAAGTGAATTTTACAGAAAAAAAATTACTGCATATCCACATGGTTGTTAGTTATATATCCCCATCCCCCCCCAAACGCCAACCTGCTATCACATAATTGGGGACATAATCCTGCAACCCTCTTTGAACAAACCCAAACTTCAGATGTTACATTTGAAGGGCCAAAAACCATATTTAGGGGTTGCATCCTGAAATTGTTTCTGTAATTTATTTTAAGGTATATTTGGTATATTTTAAATCTATTTACTATTTTAAAATCTATTAAATTTTTTTAGTATATTTTTAAGTATTCATGTGGAAATAATTTGTGTAGCACCTGCTAAGAATCCTGACTTCTTGATATCTATGTTTTTTTAAAGCTGAACACAAAGATGCAATTTATTTCCATATTCGGTGATGGCTGAAATCCTTTAATATCAGTTATTTTTTATCCATTAATCTTCAAAATGATCTTTAATGTGTACTAATTCTTAAAAAGCTATTGATTAAATAATTTACTCTTTTCTGCTGATGAGAGTTTTGACCAATTGCAAGCTGGACTGTTAATCTGAAAAGACAAGTCACACAAGCCTTCTCGTTTTAACTCTAAGATCTATTACCAAATTTACATTTACAATGGACAATAAATGTCATGTACAAAGTTTAAATCACCCAATTTCCAAATGTTATTGTTTGCTTAATTTGGTCAGTTTTGAAGATCAAATATTTTGGTCTACTGGATGATAAAATTTAATCCTTAAACTATCCTACAAATATTAGAATAGTAATGATGCTCCAAAATATGTTTAATGTTTAGGTGTTTAAGTACCACTGTAGAACACAAGTTCAGCCTTTGGTAAAGTAAGGCAAAGCACTAATGTGTTTGCATAACAGAAATATAATTATTTAAGTAATTCCTGTATTAAACATCTGGAAATTATTCACTAGTTTAAACAGACAGCTTGGGACAAGAGGAAGAAATTAAATAAGCACATAAGATGAAATAGAAAGGAAAACCTCAACTTCCAGAAAGATAAGAGAAGAATATTTTCATAATTTTGAAGTGGGGAAAGATTTCTTAAGCAAGAAAAAAAGCACAATTAAGAAGGAAAAATACTGATAAACTTGACAACACTGAAATTAATAATTTTATTTATAATATATACAATGTCAAATCATTATGTTGTATACTGGAAACTAATATCATGTATCAGGTTTTTTTAAAAGAATTTAATAAGAGACATTAGGAGATTTAAAAGGCAAGTTACAGAGTGGGAGAAAATATCTGCAATACATATAACCAGCAAGTTTTATATCCAGAACTTACTAAGAAAAAGAAAAAAGAAGGAAAAAAATCCCCACTAACAATCACTAAGAAAGTCCAAACATAACAACAAAAGAGTTCAACAGACACCTAACAAAGCGGTAGACTTTACTTCTGTTCCAGAGTATTTGTGCCTTCCCCTTGTCCTGTGAAAGGATTTTTCACCCCCATCCATGGTAATATAACTTGCAATGCCTCCTGTGAGAGAATACTTCCCTCACCCACTGACATTGAGCATAGTTTTATGATACACTCTGGCCTATGGAATATGAATAGATGTGACAAGTAGAAGCTTCAAATGATATTAGTAGTTTCTGCTAATTTTTTCCTCTTTCCTCCTGAAATAGGGGCTGCTTTTTCAACCTGATTCCCAGAAAAAGAACACATACAGCTTCAGAACAGCCACCAACACTGTAAGTGAACCAGAAAAAAAGTTTTTCTAAGCTATATCTGAATGACTAAAACCATATCCAATAGATAAATGAAAAGATGCTTAACCTCTCTGATCATCAGGGAAATGCAAGTTAAAACCACAATAAAATACTAGATATTAAAAAGACTGACAATATCAAGAGTTGATAACAGTTTAACGATAACCCACAACCCTCAGACCAACCCAAGAGTTGATAACAATGTGGAACATCAGAACTAGTATGTTGCTAGTGGGAGTGCAAGTTGGCACAATTTTGGAAAACTCATCCAATATACTAACGTTGAATATATGACTATCCTTCAAACCTTATGTATTCTACTACTATGAATACACTCAAGAGATTTCATGCTAATGGGCACCTAAACATATGAAAATGTTCTCATCAGCATTATTTCTACTCATCAAATTGGAAACAGCCACATGTTATCAACAATAATACGGATAGGGGCACCTGGGTGGCTTAGTCGGTTAAATGTCCGACTTCAGCTCAGGTCATGATCTCACGGTTCGTGGGCTTGAGCCCCGCGTCGGGCTCTGTGTTGACAGCTCAGAGCCTGGAGCCTGTCTTCAGATTCTATGTCTCCCTCTTTCTCTGACCCTCCCCTGCTCATACTGTCTCTCTCTCTCAAAAATAAATAAAACATTTAAAAATGTTTTTAAAAATAGTATGGATAGATTTTTTGTAAATGCATTCAGTGGTTTGTGGCACTGAACTATGGCTCTACACACTAACACAGATAAATCTTGAAAGCACAAGAAGTCATTCACAAAAGAAAATATATTAGACAATACTACTGCGTTTATATGGAGTCCAAAATATGGTCAAAACAAAAGTAAACACTGCACAGCAACATGCAAAAGAATGAAACTGGACCACTTTCTTATACCATATATAAAAATTAAGTCAAAATGGAATTAAGACCTAAATATGAGGCCTGAAACCATAAAAATCTTAACTTCTTTAACATCAGGCATAGCAACTTCTTTCTAGATAGTTCTCCTGTGGCAAGGGGGACAGAAGCAAAAAATATTATTGAGACTTCAAAATAAAAAGCTTCTGCACAGAGAAGTAAACAATCAACAAAACTAAAAGACAACATACGGAATGGGAGAAGATATTTGCAAATGACATATATGATGAAGGATTAATATCCAAAATATATAAAGAACTGATACAACTCATCACCCCCAAAATGAATACTCCAATTAAAACATGGACAGAAGATATGAACAGACACTTTTCCAAAGACATACAAACGGCCAACAGATACATGCAAACATGTTCAACATTATTCATCATGAGGGAAATACAAATCAAAACTACAATGAGATATCACTTCATACTTGTAAGAATGGCTAAAATCAACAGTATGAGAAACAGCAGGTGTTGGTTAGGATGTGGAGAAAGGGGACCCCTCTTGCACTGTTGATGGGAATGCAAACTGGTGCAGTGACTGTGGAGCAGAGTATGGAGGTTCCTCAAAAACTTAAAAATAGAACTACCCTAAAGTCCACCAACTGCACTACTAGGTATTTATCAAGGAATACAAAAATACTAATTCAAAGGGATACATGCACCTCAATGTTTGTAGTAGTGTTATCTACAATAGCCAAATTATGGAAACAGCCCAAGTGTCCATCAATTAATGAATGGATAAAGAACACACACACACACACATATATATAGTAATATTTCACTGTATACACACACACACGCACATATGTGGAATGTAATATTATTTGGCCATAAAAAAGGAATGAAATCTTGCCATTTGCAATGACACAGGTGGGGCTATAGAGTACTATGCTAAGTGAAATAAGAGAAAGGCAAATACCATATGATTTCCCTCGTGTGGAATTTAAGAGACAAACACATGACCAAAGGGGGAGATAAAAGAAAAAAGAAAGAGAGTCCTCTATAGAGAACAAATGAATGGTTACCAGGAGGAAGGTGGGTGGAGGGGGACATGCTGAACAGGTAATAGGGATTAAGGAGTGCACCTGTGATGAGTATAGGTGATGTATGGGAGTGCTGATTACTATACTGTAAACTTGAAACTAATATTAGACTGTGTTAACTGCAATTTAAATACAAACTTTAAGAACTCTCATTCTTCAAAAGACACCATTAAAAAGAAAAAAAATGAAAAGCCAATCCAGATAATGGTAGAAAATATTCACAAAAACTAAATAAAAACAAATAACATCCTCCCAAAACCCAGGCAAAAAGCATTTGAAAAGACATTTCTCCAAAGATAAACAAACGGCCAATAAACACATGAAAAGATCCTAAACATCACTGGACATTAAGGAAATGCAAATAAAAAAAATAAGCACAGTATTTTATTTTATTTATTTGTTTTTTAGGGAGAGAGTGCAAGCGGGGGTCAGAGAGAGAGAGAGAGAGAGAGAGAGAGAGAGAGGATCTTAAAGCCTCCAACACAGCACAGAGCCTGACGCAGGGCTCAATCCCAGACCTGTGGGATCATGACCTGAGCCAGACACTCAACCGATTGAGCCACCTAGGTACCCCAGAAATGCAAATTTAAAAAACCACAGAGGGCACTATCAATTAAAATATAAGGCTAAGACATCACCATACACCTACCAGAACAATCAGAATAAGGAATAGTGACAATATCAAATGCAGGTGAGGATGTGGAAGAAAAGTGGATCTCTCATATATTGAAGAATGGCACAGCCACTCTGGACTGTTTGGTGGTTTCTTTAAAATGAAACATACACAGCAACCTCAAAAGATCATATATATTCAAGACAAAAATTCACATGTTCTATGATTTTATTTGTACAACATTCTCAAAATGACAGAATTATATAGAAAAGAGACCAATTGTTGTGAGGGAACTGAGATGGTTGGGGAGAGGTGGCGGGTAATTAAGGGGTGCTGAAAGGGAGATCTTTGTGGTGAGAGATTAGTTCTGTATCTTGACTGTAATGATAGTTATATGAATCTACACATGCAATAAAATGAAACAATTATAAACAGGCATTTTATCAATGCCTTTGTTTTGATAGTGTACTGTAATTAAAATGTAACCATTAGAGGAACCTGGAATGGTACACAGGACCCCTTCAAGGTATCTCTACAATTTGT